GGGAAATTTTGTTTATATTTACATACAAAGAAACATTTATGTTCACTGTAGACATTTGCCTTGAAAAATATATACAAGGAAAGAAAACAACTGGAAATCTCTATCTGAGGGCTTTCTGCATTTTCAGTCTTGCATTTAATCCCCCCTTTCACTTCAACATAATGAGAAGGCTGCATGCAATGCTGTAGCTGCGAAGGCTACAAAGGTTCATTGTGAGCCGTGGTTATAATAACGAGCTTCTGACTATTGCTGCAAACCACGAACATCTCAAATATTTATTTGCACTCCAGATTTTATTCCTCAGCTGAGGTTTTGGTCTGCAAGCTGTGTGTAGTGTCCTGCTCAGATCTATACAGTCCCATGAACAGGTGATGTTCCGAAATGTCAAGTGTGAAGGTGCTGCCATGAATGTATTATCAGCACTTATCTCACAAATCTGCCTTGAAACAGTAGCCACAATCTGCCTGAATGTTCCTTTGTTTGTTTATGGAGCCCATCTGCCTTCGCTAAGGGTCTAGTCATACAAACAGATATGTCACGGTGCCATCTCCTAATACATTACCACCCATCAGCTGAGCTGCGTAACTGTCCATGTGCTCATCTTGGGCTGACCTCCGCTGCCGAGGACGGTGTGGAAGTGTCTCTGCCTTACACATTAGGCTTGGCAGTGATGCCAGAGCAAGAGCGTGTACACAGTTGCTTACCACAGCTCGGCTGCCAGCTGGTGACGTGCAAGCTATGGTTTCTGTGGCTGTATCCTTCCAGTAGGTACCGAAATCATTAAGGACTGTGTATGTAAACTCCACATCTGTTACAGCCAAGGGTTTATAGGTTCTTGTGTAATTCAGGTAGTTGCTTCTCCATGCGGATCAGCTCCGTTAGTTTTTTTGCTTTTGGGTTTTTTTTCTTTTTTTTTCCTTGGGAGCTATGAAAGTGGTGTCTGTTGTTGTACCAGAAGTTCACTGAAAATTGTGAATTCTCTTTTCCCTAGTGTAACAGAAGGCAAATTCTGTCCCAGAGGCATTATCACAGTCATTATTGTATTTAAATGTTGTTGTGACACCATATGTCTCCTTGTATTTGATGTGTGCAAACACAAGAGAGAGTCCCTGTCTGTGAAGGCTTGTATAATCTAAATACGTCTGATCCTTGCTCTTTGCATAGCAGACTACTGTGATAGATTGTAAAACGTTTATCTTCAGTTGAAATAGCAATGTGCAGCTGAAACTTCCTTGAAATTTTGCCATAGGAACCTAAGTAGATGTATTTGATTTGCTTATTTCAATCCCAATAATTATTTTCGTGGATGAAACTTCAGTGCACATGCCGATAGAAGTGGTTGGACATGAGAATAAGTAAAAAGAATGTAGAATTGCTGCAGATGTCTGCAACTCATGCATATCTACTACTACTAACTTAGTATTTGCATGGAGCAAATTGGAGGGAATTGCTGGTGCTCCAATAGCCCTGGATGTCACAAGGAGCAAATATCAAAGAAGAGCTGCTACCAAATATACTTACAGGTCAATTGGGATTTTTACTGCTTAACGCATGCCGTGGCTGCTGGACCTCATTTTGCAGTCAAAAGGCGTTGCCAAAGTAGACTTTACCAGAAACTCTTCAGAACTCTGAAGTTCATTCAAAGTTGTCAATATTCAGTTTCTGCACTTCAAAAGCATCCCTGTAATCAGTAGAATTGCCACCACGCCCTTTTACTTCAGAAAAAGTTCACTACTCTGAGCTCTGCTGATCCACAAACTTGAACATTTGCACTGAGAAAGCGGGAAACAAGAGGCAGAATGAATGCCAAAAGTGTCATCTGAGAGGGAAATTCGTACAAAGATTCCATAGCAAAAAAATGGAGCCTAAACCAACCTGAGCGAAAAAAAGGGTGTGTAACTCCTGAAAACCACTAAAGCTGTCAGAGCCCTCTCTGGGTTGGCACTAACAGGACAAAGAAACTGTGGGGCAGCAGGAGATAGAAGACAGGACAGTGGCAGGGGACTTCTGTTCCGATCTGCGAAGCTGAGATACAGTGGATCAGTGGAGTCTCTCTTAGTTCAGTGCCTGAAGTCCCAAATGGGCATTTTCTTATTACAAGAAAAAAACTCACATTCTACTCCAATGTACCATTATTTCTCTAGAGCCAAAAAAACAACTTGAATGCTAGTTTAGTATTTAACTATAGGTGCTCACAGATTTGAGCAAGCATTTCCACTTCTCTGTTGCTAACTTCTAAGAGTTACAAAATGATTGCTGACAGTGGTTCGAATGCTGTGCTGCATGTTGTTGAGAACAAGATGCTGCATGTTCCCTGACTTTTTCTACCCTGAATCGCTTTCTGATCTGGGACAACCTCCTTGACTGACACTTCTGTGCTTTTCCACAATTATAGTATTTCCTGATACTGAAACATCTCCTTCCATATCTTCCCCTCCTCAACTCACTTACTGCCTTCCAAAACAGGACAGTTATTTAGGATGGATATTTGATTAGGACGCATGCTGTGTACCTGGATAAAATATAGGCTTATGCTGCGGGGGCTGTATCTCTTATGAAAAGAAAAATATGTGTATTGTAGCTAATAGTAAGCATGCAGTTGTCGTGGAGGGTCAGGGCTCTCTGCCTTCATCTGATCCCTTGTTGACAGTAGGTGATGGCACACATAAAATTTCAGTAAGGTGAAGTAATGTCATAGTTTACAGTTGTATTTTCCTTGAGCAAGGCTGTTTTGCTTACAGTGCACCTTGACAGCGGCCTGTTTAGCAGCATGATGTAAAACTGCAGCTGCTGAGGAGGTGAAAGCAAGCACTGCCTCTCCACCCCGCCCTGTGAGAAGCTCTAATCCCATTCGGCAGTCCAGGAACCCCAGGGTTGAAATATCTTCCAGATACAGCAAAATAAAGCTCAGAGCAGGTGGTAGCTTTTAGCCTTCTGATGAATAGACTAGACTAGACTAGACTAGAATAGAATAAATAGACTATTTCAGTTGTGAGGGACCTACAACGATCATCTAGTCCAACTGCCTGACCACTTCAGGGCTGACCAACAGTTAAAGAGTGTTGTTAAGGGCATTGTCCAAATGCCTCTCAAACACTGACAGGCTTGGGGCATTGACCACCTCTCTAGGAAGCCTGTTCCAGTGCTTGACCACCCTCTTGGTAAAGAAATGCTTCCTCATGTCCAGTCTAAACCTTCCTGGCACAGCTTTGAACTATTCCCACACGTCCTGGCACTGGATAGCAGGAAGAAGAGATCAGCACCTCCCTCTCCTCTTCCCCTCCTCAGGAAGCTGTAGAGAGCCATGTATGTCTTAGCTGAAGTCCTTCTGTATCTGACATAAATAGCCCCTCCATGGCCATGCCTTATAGCACAGTAATTCAAGAGTATTTCTGGCTGTTTGGATCCTTGTTCAATGTGTCTTGCATACAGTTGACTGCACCAGGCCCTGCAGAAGAAGGAGGGCCCATCCTCTGCTGAAATTAGTTTCAGCCTGCAAAGCGAAAGAGCTCACTGTAAATAAAGAGTCACTTTACTGCTGAGATGCCTGCTCAGGGTGATACCCACTGCAGAACTGTATATCAGGTCATGCTTTCTGGAGAAGCAGCAACATATCATAAGTAGTTAAGTCTGTCCCGACATGACTGAGCAAAAGTAGCGAAAGGATATGTACCTGGTCCTCGTTTGCAGCAGGGGCTGGACAGACATGTAAGCTACATACATGGACTGCAGCAGGGGAGAGTGTGCGTAAGGGTGTGTGTGATGGACCAGTGCCGCTCGCCTGCGACAGCTGGGACCTTCTGCATGCCCCTGGCACATGAAAGTGCAGGACCCAGGTTTTGCGGCGACAGTGCTGACAGCTACGCATCCAGATTTTGACACATCAAAAGGCAATTCTAGGAAGACTCAGAGTTTCTCAACCCCAAGCCCCATGATCTGTCCAGTTTATTGACAAAGCCCACCAAAAGGTTGAGGTGCAGTGAAACAAGGAAGGCTGTTGTGGGAACTGGTGCCATTTTCTTCTTCAGTAGCAGAATTCCTATCAAGTGGTAGAAGTTAGTGCCCGACTTGACTGGCAACAGCCTAGTATGGGATGGGGGCGGACACTCACCAGCATCGGACTGAAGTTATTAGCAGGGGGACACCTTGCAGAGGGATTTCAGTGTCGGTGTCAACATTGCGAGTGTTTGTACAGCTGTGAACAAGCAGAAACAAAGCTCATCTCTGTTCCCTTCTGGATACGCTGACACCCCCACAAAGTATGTCTTCAAAAAGCACTTTATGTCAATAAGGGAAGTTAAGTTGGAGCTGTGTTTATTTTGGGTAGGTTTTTAATTTGGTTTAATCAGGATTACTCATAAATGATCTATTAATTACTATGTGATATTTAGCGATCCTCTCAGCCATGTAGTCTATTTAGCTTCGCTGTGAATGCGAGACATCTTAATTGTAGGATACTTTGTCAACATTTAATCAGTAGTACTTACTAATGTGGCATTGATGTGTTGGTAGCTGTCCCAGTACCATCAATCATGTATGAGCAGCAAAGGCGGCTGTGACACCATTGCTCTCTGTCACATTATCAAGCCCTTGGGTCTTCTAGTTAGGGTCGATGCTCACTTTGCTCTAAGCGGCACTCTATCTCTCCAATTCAACCCAATTTTTGTCATTGTCGACTTGAATACACATCCTTGCAGCCTTCCGAGCCTTAATCCCGTAACTGCAGAATAAAGATTGGTAGTTTCTGAAGGCAAAACTGATTGCTCCGTCACTGCTCCAAAGGGCTGCTCTTCCTGGTGTTACTCTCCTGGTAAGTCACAAAAAACCTAGTATTATGGACGGCAGCATGAGATCTAACAGAAAATTCAGTGTGTTAAGACAAAATAATGATCTTCCTTTTTTCATTTCTAGTAACTAGATGCATTGTTTAACATGCTGCAGAGTAAAAGCCTGTGTTGAATGGTTGTACCACAAATATTCTTTGTCTCGTTTCCTTACAGCCTTTATGGCAGACACATGCAAGCGAATCCTGAACCTCCAAAGAAGAGCAATGACAAGTCAAAGAAGATCAGCCGTAAGCCTCTGGCAGCCAAGAACAAATAAGTCCCTGGCTTCTGCTTCTGTTTTTATATCTTTTACATAGCTTTTGCATGTGCCTGTAATATTCCTATGCCTCTCCTGTTACTCATAAGAAAGCAGACACTAGATGTAAAAGCCATTTACTATGTGTACTGCTTTAGAAGACACTGCATAAGGAATAGAAAATTACATATTCTCCTAATTATGGTCACATTTATGTAGCCATTTAATATATCACTGTCAAACACATTTTACTATTTATAAGTATATTAATGTCATCTCTTCACATGTATCACATCCTGTTAACATCAGGGGTTTTGCACCTGTATTGTACCATATAAAATTTCATACAGTATTCCCAGTGATTTTAATAAAGGTCTTTATTTATATTGTGTTTCGAATTCTTCAGTAGGACTTCTGAACAGTGCATTCCTTGAGGAACGTATGTGTCCAGCCTCCAGCAATGTGTTAATTTCTTGTGTAGGAATGTGATAGCATTTAATCTGATACAAGTTAGTTAAAATGTACAGCATTCTGTTCAAGGAGTGAAAAATTTTAATCAGTTTCTATTTCTTTCTTACATTGCTATGTCCTGCTTTTTTGCCTTGAAGGTTATTTTGAAATCAAGGAGTAGGGGAAGGGAGAGAGGAAAGGAAAAAAAAAAAAAAAAGCCTTTGTAAAGAGCTGCCAATTGCCAGCCTCAATTTGGGGAAAGAGAACTTTCTCATTTGAAGAAAATGGTATTTTTGCCAATTTTTAAAGTGATTTTTTTTTTTTTTAGGCAGGAAACCCAAATAATGTATTTAATCTCTGCTGAAAGTGCGTGTATTGAAGAGCTGTTCCAAATGGCTTTTGAAAATGCCACAGGTTCTATATTTATCTGTACAAAGCCGTCACCACAACCAAGCTCAGAAGCCACAAATAATTTAACATCTCAAATAGCTTCAGGTCTTACCAGTGGGGAAGAAAAACCTGAAATCTGCAGACAGTGATTTCCAAACAATTTTAATCTTAGCAGAGCAAAAGCTAACCAGGAAACTCAAGGCTATTCATACCTAGATTGCTCGTGTCAGGACCTTCTCGCCCTTGATTTCTGATTTCGTGAGCATCATACCTGAGCAACCCGTTGACGCGTTTCGGCTGCCATCCAGACAGCAAGCCAGCAAACATGCCCAGGCTGCCAAAACAGGCCTGTTGTGTTCAGCGAGAGAAGAAAAGGCTTTGAATATCTCATGCAAGAAATGATACTTTCTACAAAAGCCATTTTGTATCTGAAGACTCTGTTATCAGCACCACCCTCGATTGCATTTAGCATTACCCCAGCATTTAAGTAATACATGGTTGCCTTAGTCTAGGAATAAATGTATTGACATATATTTTGCAACAGATTTTTTGAATTGGCAAGGAGGGCTAGGAAGTTGGCATCAAGCTTTAGACACATATTAAGTGGTCTTTGGTACTTCAGAAGAATGAGGCAGTCTTGGTAGGCAGATAAACATCGTAGAATTGTCAGGAACAGTCAATTCTATCTGTTGCAAGCTCTGCAGAGGGTTTTCCAGACCTCTTAAGTGATCTGTCTAGAGGAACAGGTCCAACTGAAACAGGCCCAAGGAGGCGCTAGGTTGGGTTAAGAATTTGCTGTAAAAACTGGCCCCCGGCTGGAATGCACACAATTAAATCCAGTGTAGGCATCAGCACGTGAGGGTACCTAATGCCAACAATAACCAGGCTACAGAAAACCCCGAAGAAATATCAGTGAAATGTCAGAAGATCCCAAAACTACTATTGTGAATTCCTTTTGGAACAAAATAAATAGCAAGAGCTCATCTATCAGGAAGGGGGGAAGAAGCTGTAGGTCCTTCGCAGTGTCCTACCCTGGCACTGACCACCACCCCAGTCCCCACAGGGCTGAGCCGCCGCTCTCCTGGCAGATGCCTGCAGCCAGGGCTAGACCCCTGCTTTCAGGCTTGAAGATCTTTTACGTACGCTTACTTCAGCTAAACCAGATTCACTGCTCTTCTGAAATCTCCCTGGGTACATCTGGACACGGTTTTCTGTGAGCGGGGTAGCAACATGGTTTGCCTTTGATGTGAACAGAAATCCAGCCAGAGCTAAAGGCATCCGGGTGGTGTCTGAGACTGCATCCATCCCCTGCTCTGTGTCTTGGGGTTTGGAAAGAGAGACGGTGCTCCAGGGCTACAAGGGTTTCAAAGCATGGAGTAGTCTCTAATGTAAAAATAAAAGCTTGTCAGGGAAGGCCTGATAGAGTTATTAGTGGTAAGCTTCAGCACTGCTTTAAAATAAGCTGCTGATTTTCAGGCATTAGTCAGACTTCCATTAACTGCTGTTCCACATTTTGAAAGTGTTGAAAGACTCGTGCAAGCTCTTCTCTGCAGGGTTTCGAAGTATCAATTGGAGCATTCCAGGGTGTTCGCAGGAAAAAAACCCGCCCAACCTTCCCACTTCTTCCCTCATGAAGGAGGAAGAAACACAGTTTTGACAAGCAAGGCAAGAACGAGGGGTCTGGGGAAGAACAAGTGAAAGGCGTAAAGATGAGAAGGATAAAAGAAATCCTAAAGGGAGAAGCATTATACTGAAGACAGTTGCAGTGGGGAAAAAAGAAGTTTCTTGAAAAGAAAGATGAAAAAATAAGATAATGATCTGAGAAGACGACAAAAAACTGACATGTATAAAGCTTTACAAACAGAACACGAAATGGGGGGAAAGGAGTGCTCTTCAGAGGCTCAGGGCAGAATAAAAGACATGGGGAGGAAAAGCAAACCATCAGGGATGTCACGTGCTAATGTTTTGGTGTTTTCAAAAAGGTACCAGCTTTTTAAAGCAAACTACACAACAGTTTTAATGTGAGTGTGATGATTTCATGTATCTGTTCTCTAGAGTCATTGCTTTTTTAATATTTAAAACCGACTTGTTTCATTTTACTGGGTCACATTTATTTCCCCACTGTACTTCAAGGAAAGGAACTGCTGCGTCCTACTGTGGTGAACCAATTAATGAGCACTGCAGCTCGTGACAGTCGCTCTGGTGGTCCCCATGGTCATTTCTCCAGAGGATACATCAAACTGAGGCCCCTTCCAGTGAGCCCTTGGGTGCTGCCCCGAGGTGAGCAATTGTGTGGTGTCACGTGGAGCACTGAGTTCTGTAAGTGTAAGAGTTTGGCGATTTTTTTTTCTGCATACAATGCACCCTGACAAAGAAAACTTTTTAAAATTACCATAGGACTGATACACTGCCCGTGTGCAAAGAGTGGACTGGGGAATTAATGCTCCTTGCTAAAGATAGGACAAAATTAAGCCAGAAATCCCACATGTGCAGGCACCAGCCACCATTTTCTTGTCCTTACGGTGTTTGTTAACCCTGTATTGCCTCCTACAGTCCTGATGGACAGATAACAGTTAAAAAGAAAACAACCAAAAAAAATGTCAGCTCTGAGAACCTGGGCACTGCTGTTGCTCTTTTTCTTATTTAAAAGTGTTGTGGGCAGCAACAATGTGATTCTAAAGTTTCACCTTTTTATGATTCTTAGTCTGGAAATGTGTTTCCCATGGAGTCACTGGTATTCAGGCATCTTTATTTTGGTTTTAGCCAGGTCTTTCCTATTAAGGAAATGACACTGTAGCATCTGTTCATCAATTAGCTGCCAGCCTTACAGCTGGCAAATCGCACCAGCAGCATGGGCATTTCTCCTGAAATGGCAGCTCGTTCAGAGGTACGATCTGAGCCAGCGCAGCCCTTGCCTCTCCTCCCTCTGGCACCACATATCCTCTCCGTCCTCCTCCTCCTCTGGGCTCTCCCCACCACGCTGCGGTGCACAAGGCCATGTGCTGGGCTCCTGGAGGACCCGGGGAGAGGAAGAAACTTTCCTCCTGCCCTGCCAGGCCCTCTGCTCCCTCCCAGGCAGCAGAGTGAGGTCAGGAGTCATTTCCAGCCCCAATGATGCTTGGGTGCTCCACGCTGGCTCACGGCTTTGTGCTGGTATGAAAGCTGGGAGGGCGAGCCTGTGCCGTCCCCACGTGTGCTGAGCAGCAGGAGCTCTGGAGTTGGGTAGTATTTCCAGTTTGGAGCGGGTGGTAACTGTTAATATCCTCATGACAACCAGGAGGAGTGAGGTTGTCATCGGTTATATTAGTTGTTAATTTTGTAAATATTAACAATTTCTAGGATTATGGCACAGGATGTGAGCTGTCAACTTGCTTTATTTTCCTCCTACTCCTTCTTGCAATGACACATCTTTTATACTCCTGCATTCATGCTGTGCATTTGTTGCCTTGCGCCGACACCGGGGCTGGCAGATGTTCTGGGATGAAACCATGATAACCTCCCAAAAGTTAGATTTTCTTGCCCTCCTGGGTACTTTGTTCCTCTGATCTAAGGAGAAGTCATTAGCCTGTAAAGCACGATGATTTATAAATCCCTGTGGTTGGGTTCCGTCCAGCGCTGCCTTTGGCACAGCTGAGCTCCCGCCTCCCTTTCCAGCTCACCTGTGAGTGCTGCACGCTGGCATCACTGCTTCCAGTCCCCCTTGGAGCAGGAACTGAATTACAGCTCGCCAGGAACTGTTTCCCTATTGTGAAAAAGCCCTTAAAACTGACATTTTTATGATATATCTCAAGAGCAAAATTTTAGCTATATTTTTAGATCAAGGAGCACGGTAATCGTGTGAGTGCCAGCCATGGCAGTCACCCCTGCAGCTTGACAGACGTGCTTGGAGGCAGCTTTAGTGACGAGGTGCGATCGGGGCAAAGCACCGGGGAAGGCAGCTTTGCCAGGGCAGTGCTCCTCACCCCAGCTCCCTTGCTGCTGGCCAGAGCCTCTGCCCGCTCCATCCCATTCCCATGCCACCGGCAGCCCTGAGTGCCCGGCTGGTGCCCAGCCGAGCAGTGATGAGCAGAGCTTCACAATCTTCCTGACATCCCAGTTATTCAGGATCATGTTTCAAATGGCCTCGCCAGAGGGGAGCAGAGCCAAAGAGCTCATCTGAGGCTCAGCTCCGCAACCTGGGGCACCGCTGAGGAAGGGCCATGCCACGAAGGCAGTGATGTGTGCCAGGACGCGGGTGGCTCAGGAGTGGATTTTAGCTTAATACTGGGTGTTGGGTTTCCCTCCAGCCACGTGGTTTAGGATGTAACATCACAGCAGTGAAATGGAGAACCGGTGATCTTGTCAACTACCCCCTCAGAGGGGTTAGTTTTAGAAATCATACTGTCAGTGGCCTGGTTTGAGCACTCTCAGCCACCTCTGATTCGTTGTCGTATCGATCCAGATATTGCATTTTAGGTAGCTACTCAAACACGCCTGGCATACATGATTTTCCAAGACCACACAAAAATGAGCATCTG